CCTTTTCCCCCGCCCCCCCCCCCCCCCCCCCCCCTTCGCATTTTCCTTTCCTAACTTCTCCTCGATGGTGTTTTTTTATGCCGTTCGTGCTTCCTTTCGTGGTTGATGGCGTGCAGCCCGTGGGGGTATTTCTGGATGGTGGCGAATTGCTGCACGACGGCGGGCTATGTGTTGTACATGAAGCACGCGACGAAGTCCATCAAGCTCCCGAGGTTCGGCATGGTGTTTTACAACAACCTCCTGACGACTTGCCTCCTCACCCCGGCGGCGTTCATGATGGGTGACTTCACGATCTTCTGGACCACACCGCAGCTTCGCACCGTCACGTACATGACCGCTCTCCTGTTCTCAGGTCAGCCGTAAGAACTGCCCCGATGGTTCTGCAAGAACTCGTCCCAGCGGGCATTCTTGGTGGTGTTTGTCGCAAACGACCCAGAGGCTTGGAATGGATTCGTGTGTGTTGTGCCTTTGTGTTTTTCATGATGCTGCACCGGTGTCTAGGCTGGCGCGCATCAATCGTGAACTTCCTGCTTCTCGATCTGCCTTTTCTGTCTTTCGGCAGGTGTTGTGGGGGTATTGCTGAACTTTGCATCCTTGTGGTGCGTCGGGGCGACCTCTGCCACCACCTACGCCGTGGTGGGATCGGTCAACGTGGTGAGTCAACCCCGGCTTTCTCGCTTAGGTGCTTTGTCCCCCCACCCTCTCTCAATCCCTTTCGTTGTCTCTGTCTATGTCTCACTCACTCCTTTTTCTCTTTCATTTAATTCTTGCTCTCTGTCAGCGGGATTGTGCGAGAGGCGTCATCCAGTCTCACTCTGATAAGACCAGAGTTCAGGCGTCCTCGTGTTTTCATCCTTCGGGACACACATGCTTGTGTATGCCCTCTCATCCTCATCCTCGTGCACCGCCACCTTTTTCATTTTTCTTTTCTTGCCTCTGATTTATTCTCATGTTGTTTTCTCAATAAGTTGGACTTGCGCACCTGTGCCATGTTTTGGTTTGCGTGACCCCATCGTGTGTTCCGTGAAGGTGTAGCCGGGAGCGCCATCCGCTCTCTCTATGCACTGCTGTTGCGACCAATAGTGTTTGCTCCTTGATATTTGGAAACATTTTGAGCGTCTTTCCCGCATTGGCCTGCTGTCGGCTTTGAACTTTTTTCTGGGAGTCGATTTTGATATCCCAAGGGCTTTGGTGTGTTGTTGTCAACACAGGCAATGTTGCACAAACGCTGTCTTGCATCTGCGGGTGTGATATTACGTTGTGCTTGCCGAGATCGGTAAAAGGTGGATGACAAGGAACCAACGTACGACTCCGAGGTATGTCCACCACACGGGACTGCTCATCGCTACTGTCTTCCCTCTCTGCTTGCGATCGGCGATAATTTTTTTTGTTTGTTGTTGGTGCAGATTCCGACGGCGCTTTTGGGGTATCAGCTGTTCGATAGCGCGATTAGCACACAGATGGGAGAGTTCATGTTGGTGAGCATGATAGGCGGCTTCATGTACTCCTTTGCGAAGCTTCAGGTGAGGATTTTCTAATCGTTTTCTTTTCCCTTCCCTACCGTAGTCTTTTGGCAACACGCACGAGTTCCGGTCTCATTCCAGCACCTCCAAGTGCTTCCTGGCACACAAGATTAGAGAGAAACCATTTCAGTTGTCACAGGCCACATAGATGAGGTACACATGCCCGAAACGGCCACCTGGCGTGATGTTGTGCTTTCGCTGTGCGGCTCTGTGCTGGTGGTGGCCACATCGGGATGCCATGTGATGCGATGCTTGTTGTGCCGTTGTTGGTCTTGTGGGCGTATCCAATCCAGAAGCTCTCGCGGAGGAATTCGACGACTAAATATAGATTGTGATCAATCATTTTCTACCCCGTTTCCAACGCGTTCGATGCTGCCATGCATACCTCCTGCACACCCCCAACGAAGATCACCCCGAATGCCGTCCCTCTCGCTGTTTCTCTGGTCCTTGGTGTTTCCTTGCGCACCCGCCCACCCGAACCCCGTCCTTGCGACCGCGCGGCGTGGTTGGCCGGGAAAACGCGGCGGAACTCGGCGGAACCGTCGGGAAAAAAAAAAAAACGGTTGCAGGAAAAGCGAAGTTTGGAGCGGACACGCCCACCGGTGATGCCCCTGCCATCTCCGACGTCGGCACTGGAGTCGCACATGTCAAAAGCAGAGAAGCTCTTGCTTGAACCAACCACAAAAGCGGACCAAACGGCGGATCACAACGCCTAAGAAGTCTCAAGAAATTTGAAGTGGAGGCGCCTCCCCGCTGCCACACGACCATGTGTCTGGGGAGAAGCCGAGGTGGCATTTTCGACGATTCGACCCGGTCGAGCTGTGGTTGCGGTGGAGGGCCCGGAAGACGAGGCATCTCCATTCGGGAGAGCATGAGCGCAAGGTGTGTCTATCGTCCACGCGCGAGGGCAGGGGTCAAGGGTCACGTGCTGATCGAACTCTCGCTCCATCAGATGTGGTAGTGCCAAGCGTTTTACGGATCATAAGCGGCGTGGAGGCCGGCGACCATATTATTTTTGGGAGTATTTTCGGAAGGGGGCATTGTCACCTGTCACCGGTCACCGGCAATAGACCTTCCTGCGTCCCCCCCCGTTTTTCACTACTTTTTTGTTTGTTTCCCGCCTAGAGAACAAAGGTGCCACATGTATGCATAAGCTTTGGTGCCAATGCCGACATTTCTTAAGCGGTTTCTCCACACCGCATGCCGACATCGGCTGATTGCGTAGCGGAAACTACAGGTGAAAAACATGTTCAATTATGCAAGTTGGCGGGTGCAGCAGTCGGGTAGCCGCAGGTGGGACCGTGCATGTAGACGAAACGTGGCGTGAGTGTGTGTGTCGTTTAGGTGGCGTGTTTTGCTTTGATTTACCGGGGGGGGGGTCGGATCGGAACGGGGCTGTTGTTTTTGTTGTCGTTTGTGGTTGGTCGGTCTTTCACCCTTCCCTGCCCCCACCCTTGTCTTGATTTCATGTTTCTTTAATCGGGAAGGTACAGTGAGCTCTGGTCGGTGAATGGTTGGCCGAAACGCCCAGCGTTGATGTATGTTCACTCCCCTAGTCGCTCTCGGTTACCTTGGTATCTATACTTTGTCTAGGGATGAGGCGTGGGAGGGGGTGAGGGAAGGTCGTCAATTCATTGCCGAACTGGGATGATGTTCGGTAGCCACGCGTGCATGGCTCGCCGAATGGGTGCGCTGTTGTATGTGGTATTCTAGTCTTCTGTGTTATCTGTCACTTGTCCTTGTCGTAAGCTATGAGGTTGTCTTGTCCTTGTCGTCTGATTAACAGCTGGCTCTGTGCTGACCCTTGTCTTGATGGTGTGATGCGTCACGTGATGACCATGCCACTTCATTCCCATATGCCCCCCTGCGGTCTAAGTTGGCTCCGGGAGCTCAGGGGTGGGCCCGCTAGGCTGCTGAGCGTTTGTTTCTTCTCTTGTGTCTAGTTTGTGTTCAGAAGGGTGTTCGGTGGTTGTCGATTACAACATGATGAATGGTTCGGTGCCTTTGGAAGCGGACTTTGGGATGCGTTCAATGGCACACGTTTCGACCGGCCTGGGCAATGAATGACACGATAGGCGTAGACCGAAAATCAGCATATTCCTCTGATCACTTCTTGCTCATTAGAACATTGTGGATCGACAACCTGACACTGGGAAAGCTAACGTAGGGTCCAACCGTTAGCTGGTTGCTGTGCTTTTTTGTATTTGTTGCGAGGGTTGGGATCGCCCGTGTAGACTATTTCTGTTATTCTTGTCCGTGGCGATGGGTCGTTTTTGGGGGCGGTTAGGGTGCTGGACCGAATTTTGCTGAGAAGCCTCCATGATGCAAGATCCGTAAGTTATTGCCAACCCTCACATTCAATCGCTGATCGTCTGTGACCTGCCTTGGCGTGTGCCCTTCGGCGATTTATGGTTGGGCAAGGCCTATCGAGCTTGCCCGTGGCACCCGATGTTGTTGTTGGAGCTTCTTGCCCCTTCCTGTCATGTCGCTTGGTGTGCCTGGCTGCTCTGTCTTGCCTGCTGCGTTGGTATCCCGACCTCTGCTGTTGCAGGCGCCTGCTGCCGTGTATGTGTTTGTTGTATTGGCAGTCAACGGTTTGATGCTGGTGCTGGATGTCCGCAGGCAGTTCTTCGTTCTTCTTAGGGAAGGGAAGGGAAGGGTGTGAGGGGTAGCGGTGCCAATGAATTGCAGACTTGGAGTATCATTTCGGTGCCCGCCCGGACGAGACTGTACGGGCATGCATTCTTTGAGCGATCTCTTCTATTGAACCGCTTGAGGTGTGATTCAGGCTCTTCAGCGCCTACGCTAGGTAGGATCAATCGTAGGTATGCACCTGTTTTGCATCCCGGTGAACGTTCCGTTCCGCTATACGTATTCGGTTTGAAGAGACCAATTTTTTCGACGCACGCATGTACATGGGTTCGATTGGGGTGTGCACGGGACGCGTGTTCTCTCGATCGCTGCGTGTAGCCTGAGCTAAAGAAGATTGGTGACGGTTGCTTGATTTAGTCACTCACGGTATGTAAAGTATGACAGGAAATAATATTACTTGAACTTCATATCGCTGTCTGAAGTACCATATATCCAAGGGGTTTCTGTTGCCCCTGAAGCTCTGCCCAAGCTGTTGAATGAACGACAGTCGGTCAGTCAGTCGGGCGTCAGGCGTGGCAGTTGCTGTACTCCGGAGTTACACCAGTAGTCCTTTCGCTGCAGCGTCTTCTCTCACAACAGATTGCACGAACTGGTATGTTGCAGATAAAGCCTGCGCAACGCCGCAGTGTCTCTACGAGGCAGACTTGAAACGAGGTGTGCGATTCCGTGCTATTTTCCCGGAATTCGTTCCTCGTCAGCCTCCATGTTCCGGGGAGGTCAGGAGCGAGCGGCCTTTGTGACACACCAGAAACTAGTCTCCGTATGAAAGTATACTTGCCCAACGTAGTGCATATGGTATTTCATAACTACTTCACTCCACAATTCGACAGCACAGTCTGAGAGTTCGCCTAAGTCATTGAAACGTATGTCGCTTTCTGCCATGTGCGACGATACCTCTCTGACATTTGAGATTCCGTCTCTCCCCTCCGGGCTCTCCCCCTTCCCATGCAGATTCACGTTCGAGGCCTGCCTGCGTCGAGCATCACCATCAACAAAACTCTGTGGAACAGGTGGCCAGCGCGGAACATTCAATTATTATTCTCATCCCAGACATTTCGGAATAATTTACAGACGCCGCATTTTTCCTTTCGCCGGCAGCAGACGCTCCACGTACACCAGCAGAAGCAGGACCGCCGCGTAAGCCCAGCCGGCCAAGGCCCTGCGTACGTGTTCGATGATCTCAATCCCCCATCAGTGACAATGAAGCCCCAGCTTATGGCGGTCCTAGCGGTGCTTCTCAGCGTCGTTTCTGCCACAGGACATGAAGATAGCCGCAGCTTTCAACCACGGGATGATGGATTGGCCGGCGCCGTCCCAGGTATTGTCTTCCCATTTTGCCGTGGGCCATACGGGTACGAAGGACGTGGCTCGGTGGATTTCTTTTGGTTCGCTTGTGCGTGCTTTCGTGTCCATGTCCTCGCCTGCCCTGCCAGCAGCGGACCATCGTAACTGTACCAGACCGGCAGTCAGCGGCTAAATAGCATTCGCGGCAAAATAGTACTGGAACACCGCTTCTCGCACCACCAACAGACAACAGGACAAAGAAGGAGTGGAAGCATGGAACCAGCTGTTGCGTGGCAGGGGTGGCCAAAATTTTGTTCGCAGCTGGTTGCAGACGAACAACATACTCTGTTCCGCTGATCTGCCGCTGTAGAGGCGGAGACATGTAAATGGCAAAACCTTCCTCGCTACATCGGCCTTCAGTAATCTCCGTGTATACGTTTACGTACGTATGAAGCGCGAGAGGAAGGAGCTTGACCGGTTGTATAGCGGTGCCCGTGTGGTGAAAAGAAGTATACGAGGGGCATCGGCGGCTCATGGTTCTTGTCGCCTTGTGGTGGATGTTTGTTATCTTTGGCTCCGGACGGATGTATGCGTCTGTCATCCGACAGCAGGAGGAGTGTTGTGCAGACAAAAGAAATTGCGGACAACAATATCTGGACAGGTTCTCGGTTCTCATCACACGCCACCTGCAGTATATATAGTCCGTCGGTTCGATTTGGATACAGTACAGTACATTAGGGGGGGGGCATATCTGGCAGTGTGAATAGTATACTGTAGTAGGGCGGAAATCTCGATATAAGGCGGCCGAATTTTGCGCCCACAACTCAGACCCGCCTTATCCCGGGTCGGACCCTTTGTAAGGCGTTAGCTATCGATCTGAAACCCATGTGGGGCGGTGTTCATCTTCGCCTCAGTACGCCGTCTTTGAAACAAACCTCTCTGACACAAGGCACCTGAGCGAGAGAACAATACAACGCCAAGCTTGAGCTGTACACAACAAATATCACTTGCCGCATCTAAACCTGAGCGGCAGTCGAACATGAGAGAATTATTGTATGCATAGGCGGCACGTAGGCGGATCAAAGGTGCCCGGAAGAAGCTACTCCGCACGCCTACGTACCCCCGCTCTGGGAGGGCCGAACTTTGGAAAATGACAAACATGGTACGTACATCGTCCACGCCATTTTTTTTCTCTTGATTCATTGACTTGCAATATGCATCGTGTAGTGCACGTCGCACCTGTTTGATCTGTAGACTCGTCTAGTACATACGAAATACTGGCACTACATGAAACTGTCACTGCGCCCAGAACTGGTAGGTGGTGGAGAAACCACACCACGTCCTCGTATCAGTTCTCCGTACATCTGAGGAGCCCAGGCAAGTAGCAGCACACACCTCTGCGCGCGTGGCCTGAGAACCCCAATGCTATGTAGACAGAACCTCAGAACGTCATTATGCTCAGTGTTCTGACAATACGGCATATAAAGTATTTAAACTACACAGCAACTCCGAAGGCGCCTTTTCGGGGTGCGTTTACGCCCCCTCGAGCTCATGTCTCTCAGTCTCGAACAGGTAGTTTTTCTAGGCTATTACTGTACACATGCAGGCGATTCTATATTGGCTCCCTCCTACATCGTGGATGTGCAGAACGACGGTCTGATCGGAAAAAATGGTGACTGATCGGAAATGAAACTTGGCTGATCCGCAACAAGAAGAGATGCACCCATGTTCGTTGTACACCTCAGACCGTGAGGAATCACTGCTGACGTCGTGGCCGTTGATGGGCGATGGTCGGGTGGAGATGTCTTCAGCGAGAAGCGCCTCGGCGGCGGAGACCGCAGCGGTGGTGCATGGTGTCATGAACGAGGGCTTGGAGGGGGAGGATCTGTGGCCAACAGTACCAGCGGAGGCAGGCGGGCGGCGGGGGCAAGAGGACGAAGAGAAAACAGCAGACGTTGTTGTGGTAGGTCGAGTACGCGGGCGCGCCGGAGGTGTGTCGACAAATAAGTCTTCTAATCCGCAGTGTAAGATTTGAAAGGTGCATTTACAGGGGCTTAGAAAAAACAATACCATCGTCCGAGAAAGGGTTTTCAGGTCCATCACAGACGGTGGTTGTTCCAGAAGGTTTCATCGGCCGTAGAAGTTTCACTCCAATCCCATTTCCGTGCGCTCGACGATCAACACAACAAGCACCACCCCTAACTCCCCTCTTGTTTCCCTCCAAAACATATCTCCCGTTCGAATTCGTGGATTGATGGTGTCCTATGCGACGGCCGCGGCCAATGTTCTTTATGGACCAGCAGGAACAAGGAGTGGTATCGCGAGATGAGGATGGGCTTGCCAGTATCAGACGACTGGCCATTAATTTTACTGGTGAGAGGGGCGGTGTCTATCTCGTTTGCTTGGGCAGCATGCCTCCGTTGCAAGCCCTAACAGCCCTACGGTATGCGGTGTCCTTTGCTCTGGATAAACCATTCATGTGGGTGGCTCTGGGTTTTCATTCCTGCCACAGTTCTACCCCCATGTTTTCGGCACTTGGACCGTAAATGTTGATTGATTTCACGTCTACCTCCCCGTTGGCGAAGTCGTTGGCGACGTCGAAACCCTGCTGTGTACATTATTGCAAGTGGCTGCTACAGCCAGAGCCATTGGTGTGGTTTCAGAACACTTGTCATTCTGAAGCATGTTCGTGCTCGACGAACTCTGTCTACCCGTGGAGGTGTTGAATGCCCGTGTTGAAAGAATGAAAGCGTGCACGTCTTCAACAGCTGCCACTACGGTGCAGGCACCGCCTGTGAACGTCAGGACCGCGTGAACATGGCTTCCTCACTTTTCAAGGGTCATTCTGGGACCCCCACCCACGCATATGTGCTTCGATGGCGCAGATCTCTACCCAAACTGCACTTCACTAGCGTACTACGATGACAGTGTGCCTGGGGACAACTACTGCAATTCATGTAAGGATCTGGGCGTATTTTCTTGCCTGACGAGGTACAAAGCCACGGCCTCATGCTTGCGGAGGGCCAAGGTTGGTTGTTGCGCGATGCTTTTGCCCAAGAAGAGCGTCATGCAAGCGTTAAGATATGAGTTTTGCCACATGTAGAAACATACCAAAAGGGACGCCAAGCAGAGGCGCTAGCCATGCCACACGGTCCTCTCCGCAGATTACAACAACGCCGAGTGTGGGTACGATGGCGGGGATTGCTGCGACTGCGACTGCGGCACGTTTGGTACGTCCTTGGATTCGTCGTCTTCGACGACTTTTTCTTCGTCGAATTTCACGTGCGGGGCCAACGGATACGTCTGCGTGGATCCCGCATCGGAGTGCTTCGAAGGTGGGCACAAGAGTGAATCGTTTTGTATTCACCCGTGACGTTCGACCTACTTCCTCTATGTAGTGTCGTGACATGGCCATTTTTGTTGCCCCCCCCCCATCGTCACTACTCACAGGTATTTAGGAAGCACAGGTTGGTGGTGTAGACAAGCATGTATCGGAATCCTACTTCCAACGCCTATTCCTCTGTTTTTCCTGACAGCACAATACATGTTTCACTTCATAATTACAGTCATTTCGGGTTATGTCGTCACTGCAGTATGTAGATTTAGCTCAATTTCTCTTGGGTTTTCTGTCATCTCCTCGATTGTCATTGTGTGAATTTCTTCCAGGGGTGCTTGAGCGGGCCAGCGCTGACTCGACCTGCATCACTAGGCGCGCATGATATATCTTGCGTCTGTCAGTGCTTGAGGCATGCTGCGAAGGGCTGCTACACGATAGATTGTGCAAAACCACCGTGATGTTCATCATCTTTCGGTTTCAGCAGCTAGGGTTAAGGGTTAGGCCGTCGTGCCCTCGCACGTCTACGCATTGTTCCACGTGATGCCGCATGGTAGGTCTTCGTCTCCCGCTTATGTGCTCGCCCATGCTTTATCGTTCGTGTTGTGCAGACCTGTATCCTGATTGCGTCTCAAGAGGCGGAACCCTGGAATGGATCGGAAACGGGGCCTGCTACTGGGGTGAGCGTTGACGTATGATATCTTCAGTTGTTCGGTCCGCTGTGCCTCTCAGCTTGCAAGAGACAAAGTCTAGTCGATGTGACGC